TCCCCATACATTTCCTTATAACAGGACACCACAGAAACCAAGCTTGGGCTACCTGTGCCCCAACCAGACTAGACTCGACCATCATTTTCTCTTCGTGAAACAAAATACATGATTAAATTTTTTTGGTTCAACTTTAGGTTAAACTTATGTAGTAGTAATCTTCGCCTTCGTATGAATCCAACTGTAACTCAGTTACCTCTTGTGGGGTACTGAAGGGATAATATTAAAGTAGTAATCAGGATTTGATGATGAAAATTAGATCTTATGCACTGGGAATTTCATTTAACATCAGTAGTCTTTAGTATCAATGGCATTCCGGCGAAAATTGATTGGAAAGAAGGTTAGGACCCCTGCAGGATACTTCGAATCTCGCGAAGCCACTCGTCAACATACTGGTATTTTAAGCCAAAAAACCTAACAATTTTTTATCATCCATATTCAGTAAGACTTTATTTGAATAATGACATTTCAATGCACTCCGCTTTATATTTTAACTTCAGTCACAATGCTATAACTATCTTTGATGGACACTTTTTACGCAGGTCCAATTTCGTTAAGAACGGATTGTCGTGCTGTGCCATGACACTTTTTATTAAAGACTGAGAGAAAAATTAAATGTAGGGGGGAAAAGGAAAGAAGAAAGCGAGAGAGAAATGAAGGAAGGAAGACCGTGCCGTACCTCGGAACTTTGATTGAAAGAAAGGAAAATAAAAAGCAAGAAAGAGAGTATACTTGTGTCAGATCGTCTGAATTGCACTTTGTATACCAGTGAAAACCAGACAGAATGTGTTTTTGAATTGCCAAGTTTAGTAACCCGAATCCGACTTTCCAAGAAGCTCAAGGAAGACAAACAACTCGACATCCTGCTTGGAGTCGTGCACTTCTTCCTGTTGCTGTCTCGAGTTTCAGTCAAGTTATACTTCAAGGCCAAGGGTGGTCTGTCATCACGTTGATTGCTTTTGAACTTCCCCAGAATTGAAGCCTAAAGAAGAAAGACTTGAGGGTCATCGTCGTTTCCTTTTATTGAGTTGCGTAGAGATTTTAATTTCACAGACGTTTTAACAACATGGGCCCAAACGTGAAACTAAAATGCCTTCTGATTTTTCTCGCAATGGGTTTGTCACTGGTATTTTGCAAAAGGTAGGTTTATAAATAACCTCCCTATATGAATACTTGTGACGGATGTTTATGAGTTCCGCTCACCTAGTGGGACGTCTTCAATGTATTCCTCGATAACCTTGAATTGAAAAACATCCTATCTTCGTCTTTGTATTGTGTAAAATTATCTTGTGTTTATTGTTTATTGTCTTCATTCGTCCTCCATTCTGAAGTTGTTTTTGCTTCCGTACAAGATAAAGGTTCCAGACTTGTGGCCTGATGCCTTGGAACATTCTTTGATTCCAAAGATTGTAGTCGTCTTTCCAGGTTTCGGCCAGGTTTGCCCTAGCCTAGGAGACTTTTTTTTCGACGGAGTCAAGAGAAAGAAGCACTTGTTTAAATAAAAATCTCCAGCACCATGTATTCGAGGGTACGAGGCTTGCGAATGCATGCATGCGTGACTCAAAATCGGGTTCAGCGCCATTAATCCTTCGATTCAAAATTACTTTTTCAAACCAAATTGCTCGAGGTGTTTATGAAGACACCCGCGTTCTTCCCCACGTCACCACATTGGTAGTAAGTCAGGGTAGTATAGCTTGAGCTCGAATTGATGTTCATGAGGAGCAGGAAAGAGCTGGATATTCTTGTGAAGATATTTTAGTTAATTTTGAGTTCACGTCATTGTGGTAAAAGCTAAATAGATAAATAAATCACTGCATAAATGCTGCCGTACAGCAAGGGTTGCACAAAAAAGACCGATCTTCACCTTGGGCGCAATGTTTTCCTATTTTAAACCATGTGTCATTCCCTATAGTCTCATTCCTTAACTATACTGAAATGGGAAAATTACGGCAAAGGTAAAAAGGTTCGATTGTTAACATGAATATAGTATAGAATGGCACCCAAAACCCCTCAAATAATACTCCTCGAGCCACAAATAAACGATATGTCCTCCATAGTCAAGTTATTGTCCTTAAAGTACTCGTTATTGTTTTTCCTTAGCCCAGGGTATATAATACTCGCACCCAACGTCTTCCATGTGGGACTAGAAGAGACTGTAGCTGTGACTGTCACTGGCGTTACAAGGCCTGTCAAGGTCAAGTTCTTCCTGCAGGAGTTTCCTAACAGAAAAACGAATTTCTCGCACGTCGAGGGATTATTCGCATCAGGTGCGTGACGATAAAGTAGCGAATGGACACGAACGTTCCCGGTTCGATGGTGGGATAATGCAACATCGTTTCAATGAGAAATTATTATACTAAAATAAGGAGTTGGAATGACACTTATTTTGCCTTGATAATCTCAATTTTTTTAAATTCTCTCTCTTTTTTTAAATTCTTTCCTTTCCTTCCCCGTTACCGTTTGTTTCAGTTGCCTTGCCGTTGCCTTCCCTTGCCAGGAAAGGAAACTACTCATAGGGTATCGGGAATTTAGGTCCCACTTCATTTATTATCATTACRTCATCATCAGGAAGATCCTAGGACATGAAAAACCATCTGTATAAAATGTAACACAGACCGAGGATTGCAGAGCTCCCCATCATGCTATTAACTTTTCTGTCAATAATAAGGATAATCAAGGATCATCTAGAGAAAAAGGACAAAAAAAAAGGACAAAATAACTTTTTTTAAAAAATTATGTTAATATGTGAGGGACCACTGTAATTGGCACACGCTGTAGTGGTTTCCCAGCCATTATGTATGTATGTAATTGTTTTTAGTGTGTGTGTGTGTGTGTATGTGTGAGTGAGTGGGTTCATATGTGAGTGTTTGAATGGCGAAGCTAAATAAATAAATAAATCTTATGTCATGGATTAACAAATTTGTAGAATTGATCAGCATTTCCTTTGTATTTTTCCAGACAAGTCAGGTCTTCTAAAAATAAAGGTACGTGAGCAATAGACGTTTGGAAACATATAAATATGGTGCATCATGGTCTAACTTGGGTACAAAGGAAAGAGAAAGACTGAGAAAGACTGGGTCGATTTAGTATTGCAGTGCATTGTGTGGCTGTTTAGGAAAGGAAATAGACGCCATCTTGAAAATATGTCCCCAAAAAGCAGTCCCACAATGCACTGGAATGCCAACTCGACCCAGGTTTTTCCTCGACCTTGTAATGGCTAATATTAGCGAGGCTAACGTTGATCAACAAAGAATTCAGTCAAAACTGAAGTATTGTCAGAAGTTTTAGTTCCTTATTTACATATCATATAAAACATTTTTCCAGGTTAATCCTAGCGACATCCCCAGCCACGATACCGAGTACAACCAATATCTGTACCTCGTGGCCACGTGTAACGATCCACAATTGGTTTTCCATAAAGAAACCAAGGTTCTCTTGAGTTACAGAGACAAGATTGTGCTGGTACAGACAGACAAACCCATCTATACACCAAAACAAACTGGTAAGAGTTTTTAGATAAGGTAGTGAACAAACTAAGTGTTTGTCCCCCAACTTACATGTGCGCAAACTAGGATATAGTCTCCATGCACTCTTAAGCTTTGTACGTCCAATTAAGTACAAGAACATATAAGAGATAAAGGTTTTCAGACTTTTTGGGAGGCTTGAGTGGTTGAGTTTTTAGAGAGTCCAAAGAGGAGGGCAACTGAGAAATCAAAATTATAGATTAGTGCAACCCTTTGTCACAAACTCATATTGAGTTATAATTGTATTTTAGTAAAGTTTCGGGTCATGCCTTTGGACTTCAATCTCAAACCATCTAAAGATAAGGTAGGTTGCAGTCGTTGTTAACCTTACCATGTCTTGTACTGTTGTTCACCTTAAAGTGTTTTTCTTTTTCTTGCAGGTGAACATCTTAATCAAGGTAAAAAAAAATTCCCTTTTTATTCCCATATTTCTTCGTTTTGTTTCATTTAATGTTTTTCTTCTCCATATTTTAATCACTCTTAATCTTATCTTTTTTGCTACTTTTATTCCAAATTTTTTTGACACAGAATCCACAAGGAATCTTGGCCCAGCGATGGACAAACGTTTCTTCGGATACTGGTTTGTCAAACACTATCACTATCTTACCTGGTGGGGTGGTGGGGTGGTGGGGTGGTGGAGTGGTGGATTGGTGCAGTGGTAGGGTGGTGAGGTTGTTGGGTGATTGGGTGGTCGTTGCTTGAATATATATAGTAAAATACGTCATTTTTAGAGTGTGTTGTTTATAAATGTGTCACACTGGGCATCGTCCAAAAAAAGCCATGAAGATCTAAACTTATTTCTCCTAATGTTATATTGCATACTTCTTTATTATTCGTACAGGTTTTATCACTAAAGCTCTTCATCTTGGTGATCATTCTCTGATTGGTAACTGGACCATTGCCATCACATACGGTTATTTGGTAATCTCAATAGCTAATTTAACCATATCCATTTCTACATATATTTAGACAATTTTATTCATATGCATGGCTGTCCGTTTTTCAATGTTTTGTTCCCAAGTCTGATATTTGTTTATTTTATGCTTCGTCTTATTTCTTTTTCAGAATTCCCAAAACACAACTGTCAAGTTTGAAGTCAAGGAATACGGTAATTGGTTAAGTTTTAGTCTCCTTCTCCTTCTCCTTCTCCTTCCCCTGTCCTTCTTCCTACTTGTTCTTCACATACTTTATGCCAAGATTAACTGTTCCTTGTATGTCAAACCTTGCAGTTCTGCCACGGTTTTCACTACGTATTATCGGACCAAGTTACGTTCTACCTTCAGCTAAGAGGATCCACATTGCTATCGTATCAAAGTAAGATTGATTCTACAATCTAATAAGAATCTAAATTATTTATGATCATTTTGATAGTAATTTCTTTTTTCTCTAGATATACATACGGTAAGCCAGTTATAGGCAGTGTCATGACAAGACTTACACTCACGGGGAAGGGAGAAACTGAAATTGCGTTTTTCGTAAACACATCCAAGGTAATTCTGTAGTGATCGTTAGTCAGTTCGTGCGCAATTGTCGGCGCAGTTCGTGCATCTCCGATAATGTGATAATGCGCTATAAGAATTCGGCTTCGCGTCGTAGTTTCCTACGCATCTCTCCATGTTTCTCGTGTTCTCTCAGCATCTCGCGTGTTTAAATCAGAGTTTAGAAAGAGCATAGAAAGGAAAACTTTTCGTTTTGTCTTTTACGTTTCTTTTTTCGTAACCGAAGTTTATATATTATTCGATAGAAGTTCCACTTAATTTGAGCATAAATATTTTCCATTTCAGACCAAATGTCATTCTCTTGAGAAGACGATTCTTTGTTTGAGTTGTATCCGTATTCATGTGTTTTCTCATACGCAACAATTAAACAAAGAAATGATACTATAGGGAATGACACGTTGGTCTGAACACTCCATTTTACAGTTCCGTTCGAGTGACCACGAATAATAGTTGCAAGTCGAGGCTGCAGTTTCCGCGCATAGCAAAACTATACTTTTTATCATGCGCGGAAACTCTAGCCTCGACTTGGAACGAAACTGTAAAATGGAGTATTAGAAAGACATTACGCCACAAAGCTAAACATGTCTGTTATTTGTTTAAAGCTAAATGATGGAAAAGTCCAACTCAAGATAGACACAAGTCTGCTCAAGAATCATGCTCTCAGGCCATGGTTTCCTGATGGTCGCAGGCTTCGAATCGACGCTGATGTGGTAGAACAAGCCACTGGTGCACGCGAGAGTGCAGTAGACAGTTCCATCTATTTTGTCAAGACACCTTTTCATCTAAGCTACGAGAGTACAGCCATGTACTTCAAGCCTTCCATGCCGTATGTGATCAAGGTAACTAGACATTTTCACTTATATTCTTGGGATTAAACGACATTACTAAAATAACTTGAGATTAAATAACAATGAAACAGCCGCCATGTTGGTTGATCTAACAAGAGAAGCTAATGAGGAATGCTTTGTTATCGTTAATCGACATGACACCTATGACGTATCATGCACCTTAGGAATAAGACATAAGTATGATCTGCATGCAGTAGGTGTGTGTGTGTGTGTATGTTGGCCGGGGGGGGGGGGGGTAGTTTTTATTCTCGTCGTCTTATTATTCTCTCCTATTTTCGTTTTCCTTCAAAAATGAACAGTCACTTTGATATTTTTGACAAGAAATTAGAAATACATAACAATATGTTTAGGGGGGAGGGGGGGGGGGCGTATTTTGGAAGAGGTGTAAAAAGTTCATACTGATACTACACTGCTCATATTGAAAACCTAAGTAAAGACGCCACTTCTCACAATATAAATATCGTATCTTGTCAGTTAAACTGGACTCTTCACTATGATTCCACATTGACTTCGCTGACACCCTATGGCTCTCTACTATCCTGTGGACCCATATGTATGATCTTACCTTCAAGTCGTTCACTTTAATATCATTACCACTGCTACATCATATTCTCGCATGTTTTTTTCTTAGATTGATGTGAAATACCCCAACAAGCGTCCTGCTTCCCACTTGACTGTACAAATATCAGCCAAAGGGACCAGTGACACAGGAAAACCTGTAAACGTGATGCAGAAACTGAACAACCAAATACGAAAACATATGAAGGGCAACACGGATGGTGAAGGGCGTGTTGAGTTTATCCTAGACGTCCCGAGATCTGTTAAAGACATCGAAGTTGAGGTCAGAGAAAAGATATTTTTTGGTTGTTTTAATTTAAAATAGGGGAGGAAACGGATGTTGTCAACGATGTAATGACGCCATGGCTTAAAAAGCCTGGGAGAGAATTCATTTTGGGCGGGAAAGATTAAGAGTAAAATAAGTTCCGTTACTATGTGAACCGCTTTCAACTGGTAATTTGATCTGTCGTCTTAGAAGACCAAACCCCTATTCACTTGTAAAGACTTGCGTAGTATACATTGACATGTAATGATCATGATCTGATTTGCGTTCGTTGATTTTGTCGTCTTCCATGCATAAGCTCCCTAATGACTTGTGTAGTAGTTGGCTAGACTCACGGCCGGGGATTGTAGAGAGTGTTGGGGGGGGGGGGGGGGGGGGGGGGGGGGGGGGTCTTTGCCTGTCATTATTATTCCCCTATCCTTTTTGATATCTTTTCTACTTTTGCATGTTATTGTACTAAAATCTTATCCCCAAAATGACAAAACGAAGACATGGCCGTCATGATGATGTTCTAAGATTATCTGAACTTTTTATGGTTGCGTTCACAGGTTGAGACGAAAGATGATCGTCTTGGAGAAGCCAATGCTGCTGTCAAATTCAGAGCCAAGGCTTACAATTCTCCTTCTAAAAGATATCTCCACATTAGACCAAAGAAACCAAAGGTAACTTTGTGTGAACTACGACTCAAAAGCTCAACCAGCCTTACCTCTTGACTTAGGTCGTCTTACATTCGTAATGCTTTATAGGGTATTGTGGGAGTCGTCTCCATGTGGGATGTTTTCCAGAATGGCAACATTTCATCTCTGACCTTTATGGTAGGTAACACCTCTAAATGCTATGCTATCGTTTTTCATTTCGTCATCAACCATTTCTTGCTAGCTGATATAGCCATGTATTCAAGAACAATATCTTTTTAGAAATCAATACGTCATATTCTTCCCCACCGTCCCTCTTCGTTGGACGTGCGGCCTTTACTTCCGGTCGGAAAATCGGATACACTTCCAAATTCTCCCTACCTTTAATTAGCTCCCTCCTTCCTTTCCTCACTCGGAGCATGGCTTACTAACTTCTTATCGGGAGGTGGCATTCCCCCACTTATCTGAATGATTCACGCCTCCCCAACAACAAGCATATAGACTTTTTCATTTTCGGTTGACTAGGTATTGTCACGTGGACGCATCTTGCTCCAAGTCCTGACTCGCCCCAAAGATGGCGTCAATGTCGTCAGCACCTTCACATTCACTGTTACCAAGGAGATGTCACCAGCATGTCGAGTTCTCGCTTACTACGTAACCAAGGACAACGAGGTTGTTGCTGACAGTGCTGTGATGGAGGTCGAGGAGAGATTTCCGAACAAGGTGAGAAAACATCAAAAAGTACAAAGCAGTTGCTTTCAAAAATACCACCATTTCTTTTTTGTCTTTATTTTTGGGTTTATTTCAAAAAGCCCTCCTGGGTGATCTGATCTGACAAGGCGCGCTAAGCATGATTACTGTGATAAAAATAAACAATCCCATCGACCACCGCACGCTCACTTCATTTTGGTGGCGGCCATTTTGAAAAAACGATAAGTATATGCGACGTTCTCGCGAAAAAAACCTTTCTAGTTGAAAACGAGACACTCTCAAACAGATATGAGGCTTTACTTTAGCTTTAAAGCATCCTGGAGATTGCCAAGGACCCAAAGCAACATAAGATGTGAAGCTTTCACGGTTAATCGTATCAAGAAATCGAGAAAGTTTTTTGCCAGCTCCTTCATTTTCCCTTAATATCACAATCGATGAACAATAATCTGACCGATGAAGGTAAATATCTAGTCTCATCTGGACAACATATTATTTAAGGTAGAAAATTTGTAAGCCTTAAGATCTTGGCTAAATGACATTCATAAATCGTTTTTCCAAACGGATCACTTGGAAATCAGTTGCTTTCAACAATCACCGCTATTTTTTGTCTTATTATTTCTGGTGCATTATATTGAGTCACTTTATTGTGAGTGAAGTATTTAACTTTTTGTTTCATCAGGTTCGCCTCACATCTCCTGGTAAACACGCCAAGAAAGAACGTCCTGGAATGGATTACCTCATCGAGGTGGAAAGTACACCCGGGTCACGTGTGGGATTGCTGGGAGTCGATGAGAGTGTGTATCTGCTGCGAAACAAAAACAGATTGACCAAGAAGAAGGTGAATGTCAGCTTAGATAACTCTGGCTCTTGGTTAAATGTGTCACACTCCTTAAATAAAGTTTATTGTATTGTATTGTATTGTTACTCACCACACTCTGAGTACCAATGCTAGTATTTATATTGTCTATTAACAGGTTTTCAAAGACGTCAAAAATCTTGACTTGGGATGCGGTGTTGGACCAGGAAAGAACAACCAAGACGTTTTTAAGGTATGTCCTACGCTGATTTGAGTGCTTTTATTGAATAAATCTCGTTTTTTGAAGTTGACACCCTAGTCTTTTCTTTTCTAGAATTCTGGCCTCATGGTCATTACCAATGGCATGGACCCCCCGAAGGAGAGAACAGGTGATTTGAATGAATATTTCAGGAAAATAAATAGATATCTTTAACCATATAGTGATCAGTACTTAGCAGGATTGAACTGGGAAAGAAGGAAGGAAGGAAGGAAGAAAGGGAGGGAGGAAGGAAGAAAGGGAGGAAGGAAGGAAGGGAGGGAGGGAGGGAGGGAGCAAGCAAGGAAGGGTGAAGATGAAGTACGAAGCGGCGAGAAAAGAAAGAAGGAACTAACGAAGAAAAGAATGTCGAATGGACAGAGGAAGGAAATGATGGATGGATGGATATATGAGTGGGTGGAATTGATTGGTGAATGGGTGGGTTGGTGTATGAGTAGATCTCCACATGTGGGTGGATGGATGGGTGAATGGGTGGGTTGGCGTGTGAGGAGATGTCTACATGTAGGTGGATGGTAGTATGGATGGATGGGTGGATATATATTAGATACAAGGATAGATGAGTCGTCATGGGGGATGGGTGGGTCAGAACACGATACATGTCTAAGATCTTTACTTTAAACTTCAGACTTTGGTTGTTCAGCTCCTGAAACAAAAAAGAGAAGAAAACGATCAATATCTGAACAAGGTAACCATCCAATTCCATGCACGGAGCAAATTATCACAAGAACTTTATGGTTAGAAACCTTTACGTGCATTCTGTTCCTTGTTTAAAAGTTTTGATTGGATTAGCACTGGTCTACTGTGATTTGTTTAATCAATATCGTCGCCTTCCGTGCCCGTGCAATATTGCATGCCATCCAGGTGCATTAGTGCAGTTTTCGTATGACTGTAAAAAGCTCAGCGGCGTATGATTGCCTTGCAGTGACCGTAATGTTTTCTAGAACTTTAATTGGCTGATTTTTTTTCTCGCGCAATGTGATTCGGTCTGGCAATGCCGTGACCTTGGCGTGACCGTGTTCACCCCATGTTTATGCCGTGTTCCGTGCATTTGATGGGATGCAAAGAAAGTACTCGTGCATTGTGATTGGGATAGCGTATGCCTTGCCGTGTCACGACCCTGTTTGTGTCGTGAGCTATTCACAGTATTACGAAAACTGCTCTTTAACTATGGCACGACAAGTGATGAGACAGGCCATTGTAAAAAATACTCAAAAACACAACCATGAGAGAGAAAGAACAACATTAATCTTAAATATTTTTGCTTTGACAGAAAAGAAAACGTGCTGCTTAAATGGAAAGCTGTTTTCTCGCGCTTCGTGTACAATGCGTGCCAGATTCATGGCGATGAATGGAGCATCGTTAGAGTGTAGAGAAGTCTTCCTTAATTGCTGTAGAATAGCATGGAATGAGAAAGGTAACTTGTACTGTTCGAGAACAGCTCTGTTTTTCTTTCTTGCTCAGTTCTGTCGTTACTGATTGTGGGAATCAAATCAAACGTGGCGTAACGCTAGTTTATTCGCCTCTCACTTCTGGAGTCTCGGATTTGATTCCTCGAAGCCGTTCCACCCTCATATGCGGGTAGAAATATTTCTTAGTAGGTCTCACCTGTTTCCTCCGGTTTTCGTCCCTCCGCAAAAAAAAAAACAAACAACACACACACAAAACAACAACAAAAAAACCCTTCTAAATTTGAATTCGATTATGGAACGAGGGCCACAGACCTGTTAGCTACTGCACTGGCTATTGGTTTTGCACCACCACGTGCGGGCGGACATTATGGATCGCAGAACCAGGGGAGTAGGAGAAAAACTCTCCTCTCGCTCTGGACAGAACAATAGAATGCCTTTACTCTCGGGAATTGAATCCTTCCTAGCGTGTAAAACGATTGTATTGTTCCGGGCATTTTGATTTATACTATTAATGATTTTATTAATTTTCTCAAAATGCGACTCCATTTTAGCTCCAGTTGTGGATAAGCGCCAGAGACAAGTCTTCGAACAGAAGAATGGATTCTTCGGCGGTGGTAACGAGGTTGACGATATCCAGTCTGAACAAGTACGAAAATACTTCCCAGAGACATGGATCTTCGACGAGGAAGTAACAGGGTAGGAGTTGTTGTAGGATGAAAAAGATTGGAACAAAGAGAATATGATATATTTCTCTCATGTACATTTTGTATTTTTTTATATTGTGACCTTTTAGCATATTTTATATTTCTTATATATATTTCACCGGCAAATAGACCCCTTGCATGTGACGTCAAACCAGCTCAGTTTGGAAGGCAAAACTAAAGAATTTCAATCTCGTAAGAATTGGAAACCTATTGTTATGTCCTCTAAATTGAGCTGCATTCTAACGGACTCAGTGCAAGGGGTCTATTGCATTTTTTCATTTTTTCGCGCGAAAAATAGAATGCTTTCTCGTGGCACATACGTGGAATATTCCACTTTTCATCTGTATTTTCTTCTAAACATCACTTTGTTTTGTCACGGATCTTTCAGACCTGATGGCAGGATGATGTTACCTGTCACGCTGCCGGATACCATCACGACATGGGTACTCCAAGCAATATCGATATCCAACACGTCAGGCTTTGCCATGACATCACCGTCACGCATTACTACGTTCAAGAATTTCTTCGTCTCGCTGAGCCTGCCCTATTCTGTGCAAAGAGGGGAACAGCTTTCAGTCGTTGCGACCATTTTTAATTATGGAACAGAAATGGTAGGTAGAGAACGGCTTCTATCAGGAAATAATTTCTGGACTGTTAACTCGTGTATTAGCTCTTTTTGTACTTTGTAGCTAATTACGGAGAAAAATAAAAATAAAATAAAATAAGGCAGAGCCATGTTGACCACGAAGACTTTCTTAGTCGGTGAGGCTGTTAAATAGCAGTTTTTTTACCCGACCATTGTCCTTACTTAGGTCTGTACTTCTCTGTACAACCTTAGCCTTGCTCACAACTAATTACAAGACTATAGGTAGATTGGTGAGAAATTGAAAGACCTGGAACGTTTGCATTCATTTTTCCGGTTGCGACCTTTAAATGTTATCTGAATAGAGTGGTTTTAGTATGAGTGGAAAACATGCGGTGCTGACTTACAGCACGTACACGGTACGAAATGCCGTAACACTGAAATGGCTTCCTATAAGAATGGTTATCGTATGAGTATGAAACGTGTACGGTAATGACTTACGTCACGTACACGGTACGAAATGCCGTAACATTGAAATGGCTTCCCATAAGAATGCTTATCGTATGAGTGGGAAACATAAGGTACTGACGTACAGCACGTACACGGTACAACATGCCGTAACATTGAAAACGTATCCCTTAAGAAAGGTTATCGTATGAGTGGGAAACATAAGATACTGACTTACAGCACGTACACGGTACAACATGCCGTAACATTGAAAACGTATCTCTTAAGAAAGGTTATCGTATGAGTGGGAAACATACGGTACTGACGTACAGCATATACACGGTACGACATGCCGTAACATTGAAAACGTATCCCTTAAGAAAGGTTATCGTACGAGTGGGAAACATAAGGTACTGACTTACAACATATACTCGGTACGACATGCTGTTGAAATGGCTTCCCATTGTCCTCCAATAATTCATCCAATCACAGCTCGTAGTTACGGTTACGGTTACATAAGGTACGGCTACGAATGTGGCTTATCTTAAGAAAACTATTCTAAAAACTACTCATTTCTTTCAGTCTCATTTCGAAGTAAGCCTTTCTGGAAGTCGAGAATTTTGTTCCACGGAGAGACCAGGAGACAAAACCAAGCCTATAGCATTAAGCGTGAAGGCTAATGATGCTAAATCCGTCACGTTTCCCATCGTACCCATCCAACTGGGGAAAATACCGATACAAGTGTCAGCCACCAGGAAGATTTACGGAATAGAAGATGATGTTGGTTCTGATGTTGTGCAGAAAGATCTACTTGTTGTGGTACGTTTTTTAGTGGATATAATAAATATTCTTTAAGATTCAAGACTGAAGTGACGCGGGATTAGCACCAAAATCCAAAATCAAAATTCGCGCGCGCAAACATTTTTCGTGGCCCGCCATCTTGGATTTTGATGTTTCAAATTTAGGTCACACAGAATTTAGGATTTGCGTTGTCAAACGTCAAGAGAAATTCCTGAATCACAAAAATTTAGTTTTACGATGGAACATAATGCATGCAATGTAACAAAGACTACTTATGCTACTTATAACGTACCAAATTTGCGTACGCACATTGTAGCACACATTAGAGGGATTTAGCATCAAGACGCGAACGTCAAAAGACGACGGCGCGAGCGTATTTTTTCACTGTTCACTGGTTCACTCGCTATGGATGTCGTCACTTGTGAATAAAGATTGTAGACAAATTTGATGTATCCCTGATGATCAAAGATGAAAGATGTTTCATTTGTTGTTTCGCAATTGTTGTTTCAGCCCGAAGGAGTTGAACGCCGTTTCGTCCACTCGCTAGTCCTCGATCCACAAGGTATGATAGATTCACAGGACTTTATTCAGTTTACAGGCCCTTTCAGCTTGGGCCAAATGTTTTTCTATTTTACACCACGTGTCATTCCCTAGAGTATCATTTCTTTGTTTAACGGTTGCTCATGAGAAGACACATGAATATGGATACAACTCAAACGAAGAATCTTAT